AAACAGTGATTTGTTTATTGTCCCTTGGATCTGTCCACCTTACTTAAGGGCTTAAGCTGTGCCAGTGTAATGAGGCAGCTGCTTAACTGCTTCCAGCTTCTGCATTCTGCCAGCTTCTTCTATGATGGGGAGGTCCCTGGAGTCTGTGGAGGAAGGAATTTGTTTTGCTGGGGTATTTTTGGGGTTTTTTTGTTTGTTTTTTTTTTTTAACTCGGTTGGGTTTTGCTTTTTGTTTCCCACCCTCCAAGCTGTGATGTGGCCATAAAGTCACTTGATGACCAGCAGTCAAGTCTCAACACTTACTCTCCTTTGCAGGACACCTGGGGGAACAGCCATGAAAGAATCCTTTAGCTCAGCCATGCTTCTTCCCTTCATTGCCAGCACTGTAACAACACCTCTCTACTCCCATTTCTCTTAGAACATAAAAATAAATTACTCCTTCTGATGGAAGTGCCCTCTGAGCTGCAAGCCTGGAGAAATAGGATTTGCCCATGTTGGCAATTTAGGGTAAAGCTCCTTTTCATTCTTACAGGAGTTTAGCTGGGTTTTAGAGGAGCATATGTGTACCCCAGGCTTGATGCTCCCTCAGCTCAGTTCAGAGCTTGTGTTTCAAGTGTGTGGCTGGTAAATGAGTAATATGAGCTTGATCTGAGGAGAATGTGTGTCCCCACAGAGCTCTTGCACTAAACAAACCTAAACTCCAGAGGTTTTCTATGCTGTATTTAAATGCTCATGCCATTAAAACCACTGAAGCAGTATTCTTAAATGTACTTTGGTTTAGGTCTCAGTGGCGTTCATAAATCAAGATGACATGATGACTGAAAACCAGGCCTTCACTGTGGAAAAAATAATTTTCTTCATATGTAAAAAATAATATGTAATCATTTGGGGCTGGTAGCTTTTGTCTATTATTACTGTAGTTTTATCTTTCTTGAGCACACTTTCAATAGAAAAATGTATCATTTCAAGGATTTCTTCAGAAACAAACTAAAGGCATGACTTTGGACAAAAAGCATCCACTCTCTGATCATGCTAAACCTGGACAAAAGCTGCGTGAAATGTCTTACAATATAGCTGGGCTTTTAACTTTTACCTCGGCAGTACTTTTATTAATGAAACAAAGTTTGAATTATATTGTATACAACAAAACCCCCCAAAATAAAAGGGTGCCCATACTTCAGGGGAAAAAAAGCCAGCTGCTGAAGCATGATTTGATTTTTAAAAAAAGGCATATCTGTGTTAGGATAAAGACAACATTAATTCATTTTCATGATAGTCACAAATAACACAGGAGTTATGCATGGAGGATGGTGATATGATTTCTTCTGTTTGTTTATTAGACTTGGAGTAAAACAGGTATTAGCCACTTCCACCATCTCTGGTAGTAAATGTGCATTTTAGCAGGGCAGGGTACTTAGTCAGGGGCGAGCTGTACAGAAATAACACTTTGGCGTCGCTGTTTCACACAAGCAAATGAGGACTGACAACCACTAAGTGCAGTCCAGGCTTTCTGAAGAAAAATATAGGCCATGGTAAACACAAAAATACATTCCAGCCAGCAGGGCCTAATTGAAAAATAAGCCTCTTGAGAGGCAAGATTATTGTGCACCACCACGGCACAGTTGCCATTGACTCTCCTGGCAGTGCAGGAGCCACTGGACTCGGTTTTATCTCTAGATTTACCTCCGTGTGTCTGGAATCAGGCTGCATTTTCTCTAGGTGCTTTCAGGGAAACCTGATCTGCCCTATAATCTTGCTTAGCTTCTGGGCATTAGAGCATCAGCACTGTGCATAATTCAGCAGGGTTATGTAGCTCTCCTCTAACATTCAGGGACAAGGGGACAGATTATAGCAATTTTTTCCTGATTGGCAAATGAAAGGCAAAGGAGATGCAGTTTTGCCAAACTGCTCCCAAGGTGGTCAGCACCTGCAGGAGGGAGCAGTCCGTTTCCCTTCCTTGATGCTCATGCTCCTCTTATTTGAGTGTTAGAGAAGGTGTGACAGCACAGTTGGACCAGCCAGAAAAATTCCCTGGTGTTGTGTAATTCAGAGATTTTTGTATTATCTAAGGAGTAGGGGTGGTGGCAGATAAAACCTTCTCTTTAATTTGATACAAAAAGCTTTTCCCTTCCAACATATCAGTATGAAGTAAATGTGGACATGTTCTTGGTTAAGCAGAATATTTATTAGCAAATTAATACTATGAATTTAAATATATTCAAATGTATAACTGCTGCAATATATTAAAATATATTTAAACAGTAGATAAAATATCTTCCTTGTTCTAGGAGCTGAATGTTGATTATATTGCAAATGGCATTTGTCTGCCCGGTCTGAAATCTCTACTAGAGCTTCTTGAAAGTAGTTCAGCTTCTAACTAACCTTTCAAAGCACATCTGCACATTTCTGTTCCCAGCTGCACAGACAGAATAAAATAGAGGTTGAATAGCACTGAAAACTTGTAAAACTGGATCTCACAAATTACAGTGAGATTTTTTTTTTACTGTGCACATTCTTTTGCATTCAAGTTCCTAGGGGCTTGGCTGTGATTCTTAAAGCATTTATAATTTTTTAAAATGCTAGTTGAGAAATTGTACAAAAGCTATTGATTTTTCTTAGTTATTTGCCACAGTACCTGTAATTTATTCTTCAGTATCAATTAACAAGCCATGCAAAATCACTGTATGTGTATCCAGGAATGGATTTAGAACTGCTGCCAAGCCCTATTCAGAACTCTGCATTCACTCTCTTGGTAACATGGCAGTCATTTTTTTATACATAACACTTACCTTTGTTTTATTCATGATAATAATGATGTCTGAGCAAATGTCAGATGGAAGAGATCTTCTAAAGTCAGATTCCAGACAATGAATTTTAATGTTTACTCTGCAATCTCCAGCATAGTTAAAGCAAACAATTTCTGTGGTGTTTGAAGTTGCAAATATTAAAGTTACCCAGTTTCAGTTTTATCACCTATAGCACACTGTAATGCACAAGCTGTAATTGCAGGCTATACTCAGCTGGTTTTGTTTAGTTTGACAGAGACAGTAAACTGGACTTTATCATAAATACAATTAATCTAAGTGGAAAATTAGGTACTATATTTTGAATTTTATTTATCTTTCTGTCTGGTGCATGTATTTAGCAATGTATTCCTCTCCCTCCACTCTTGCCATAATTGTTCCAAGGAAAAGTTTTGTAAATAATACAAACCCTTAAGGTTGAATTGAGAGCTCTGCTGGTAAGGCATATGGGAATCAGGAGTATAAAAACACAAGCTGGAAAGTGGCACTGGCCTGTCTCTCTCCTGATCTCAGTCAAGGAACTCAGAATAAGAGAGCCAAGACCAGGAAATGTGAGATTCAGTTTCATAACTTCCACCTAGATCATCCTCATCCGTCTGCTTCTACAGTTCACCCACAATCCTGAAGTTTGGATTTGCCATTTTCTGGAATACTACACCCCCTGGCATTTTTTTGGCATGCTTTGCTGCACAGCCAGCAAAGTGGATTCATGATGCTGTCATGAAGACAGGGAGAGAGCTGGAAAATAATTTGGGGAGACCTTAGAGCACCTTCCTTAGAAGAGGTGCTCTTTTCTTCCTAAGAGACTTTAGAGTACTTCCAGGGGCTGCTGGAGAGGGACTTTAACAAAGACATGTAGTGACAGGAGAGTGGGGAATGGCTTCAAACTGAAAGAGGACAGCTTTAGATGATAGTGGGAAGAAACTCTTTCCTGCAAGGGTGGTGAGACACTGGCACACATTGCCCAGAGAAACTGTGGATGCCCCCCATCCCTGGAAATGTTCAAGGCCAGGCTGGATGGGACTTTGAGCAACCTGTCTAGGGGAAGATCTGGCAGGGGTTGAAACGAAATGATCTTTGACGTCCCTTCCCACCCAAACCCTTCTAGGACTCTTTATTCACTTGCTGAAAGATAATTAAAATAATAAAATAGTTACTGAGCTTGAGGAAAGGCAACAGATGAAACAGATCTGTTCTTTCTGCTGGGTTTCATTTCAACCTGAGATGCTACTCCAGATGGTGTGGAAGAAGAACATCCTGGCAGAGCCTGACTTCCGTGGCATAGCTGGCAGTGTCAGGCTCTCTGCAGGAAGAGATGCACTCCCTTCTGGGAGGGGGAGCCTGGGGTATTTGGCACTTTGCACATGATTCTGAATTAAATGGGAATTTCACCAAGGGTGCTGACTTGCAGGCTCTCCCTGGAGTAGATGTAAGAACTTTGCATAATCTTGTATCTGTGTAAAGGCTCCACTGTATTAATGAGGGTTCAAAGGAGTGCATTTCATCCACCAGAACTCCTTAGAGGAAAAACCTCTTGTGAAAAGACTTCTAACTGAATTCAAGGCAAATACTTCAGGGAGCAGTACATTAAGTCCTGTATCAGAGCTAACAGTATTAAATGAAAAGCAGAAAACAAATACTTAGCAGGTAGGTGAAGACTTGTGTACCACAGCCTATGTAAAATCTACATGCAGTGACTGATTCTGTGTAAACACACCCTTCAGCTCTTAAAAACATCTGATGAGCTGGGAGACTCTGCTTTTGACTTCTGTACTTTGTCTTTAAATCAAGATGCACTAATTTGCACTCCTTATCACATAATGCCATGACTTTTACAGCAGTCAGCAGGGATGGGGCCCTGTTTCTGCACAGCAGCTGAAGAAAATGTCAAGTACAAAGACACACACTGCTCCCTTGATACAAATTAGCTGATCACTAAATGGGGAAACAGGGAACTCTGACCCTATTAGAGCAAAATGTGGATAGTGGATTAACACTCCAGACTTCTAATTAATCACAGTGTGTCTCATCCTTCTGATTGCAGCTGAGTAGGCCATTCTTCTAACCTAAGCCCACAGCTGTCCAGTGTTAGCACTCAGCTGTCAGTCCAGCTCCTTGTTCTGCTGTTGGCTGAGGAGACAATGTTGCAGCCCTGAATGTCTAAAAAGTAGGTTTCAGAAATACTCAGAAACATTCTTACATGTGAACTATACTTTTATTGTGTGAAGACTTAAAAAACTCCATAAATCTTAAATTCTAAGAACTGAGTAACACTGTGCACTGTTTATGCTATTTTCCCATACAGAAAAAAGTACAGACCAGTACTGATCATAGGTTGTTTTTTTTTTCTATAACATGCACAAAGTATTTAATACAAACTACAATAGCATCGAAGTTTTACAGCTTTACTGAAACGGGAATTCCAAAATTTATTATGCACACACTGAATTTATTTGAAGATGACACAGATTAATCTAAGTCTGATATTATTTCTCAGGTAAAACATATATCACTGAACTGCTAGAAGAAGATACATATTTAACTACTTATTTTTTATCCAACTTTTAGACCATGTTTTAAGAGGAATACTGCAAATGCACTGAAGCCATTGAGTCAACAGACAGAATGCCGACCCCATAAAATATTTCAGTAATAGGATCTCTCTTCTCAGTCTTAAGGCATCTGAAATTCAAACCAAACTGAGCTTCTCAATGTCAAAAGCCAAACTAAATTCTCTCCACAGAAAGACACAATATGTTAGTTTCAAAATGAGCTATCTTAAGGCAATGTGCCACTGCCACAGGCTGCATACAAACCACAGCTATTCTGTCCTTCCCTCACCTGTTTTGGTTTCTAAAATGTAACAGAGAAATCTCAGTGATGGAAGAAAAAACGTGCACAAATGTATTCAGACAAAAGAAGGAGTTAAAAACTTAATCTAAAGTCTACAGACCTTAAACAAACTCTATATAATATGCTTTTACTATTCATAGAAGGAGTTCCCTTTTTCGTTTCACACTACAGAAAAACAGCACTGCACTGTAACACTGATTCTTCAGTTATCTATAAAACAGTGGAAAAATAAGAAAACTAAAATCTAACTGAATTTGTTACATAGCATCACTGGACTTTCAACCCACAAGGATATCAGTAGGGATGGTAACGGGGCCCTGGGTTGTAGGAATTGTAGCCATATTGTCCATAGTGGGATGAGTAGGATTGTCCTTGTCTGTGCTGCTGGTAGTTGTTACCCCAGCCTCTATCTGGCCTCTGATTAGCTCTGTAGTCACCTTGCCAGTTGTATCTGTCCCCTCTAAAATATCTGCCATCTTGAAACCTGCAATGAGAAGATAGATCCAAGTCTGACATAAATTATATTTTAAAATAAAGAGTTATAATAAACTCTTACATTTGGCAGTTTTCATGAAAACTGTCATGTAACTGTTAGCACACTCAAATATTTATATGTATATATGACAAACTCATGAAAACATACCTACAGTCATCTGAGATCACTCATGAATTTCTCACCCAACACAACATTTGGACAGTCTGTTTCTTAACACAAAGTATTCCCAGGCATTAGGTGAACTGCTGGAAGTTTTAAGAGAGACTCAGACAGACCATAAATCTAAAAATCAACCCCAAGGCACATGTGTAGTGCATCAAAGCCAGGTTCCATGCAGGAGATTCAAGGCTGAAAGCTTTGGTAAAGCAGGCTTGAGTACAGTTACAGCCACCTAACAGCTCTGAGTCCTGGAATTTGAATATTCCCTCAAATACACACTACTGCTAAAACACTGCTTCTTTATCAGTTGTACTTAGCCATTGTTCCGTCTCAATTTTGTCTTTTCAGCTCTATCTCAAGTCCTATCAAGGCTTGAGCTGCCTCATAGTCATTTGGTTTGCAAATGGTGTGGTGCAGACAAACATTTGCAAAAAATTCACTTTGTGACCATAGTGTAGGTGTAAGAGTTCATCAGTTCAAAGAGCCATGAAGTTTTGAAGAACTTCTTAAACTATCACCTGTTTTTAATCTGTGATTCTCTATTTTACTTAATGACAAGCTTCAAAGGTGAGAAAAAGTTACAATGCTGTCCTCCTTTTCTCCAGGTAAGGCACAAATCCTATTTAGATATTTAGCTAAGGAGTTTTTGCAGTTGTTGGCTGGACTGAGTTTAACTACTTTATATTAAAGGCTCATGTTAGTATTCCCAAATGCACTATATGCTGTAATTGTTGCTTTTCAGTCCCTCAAAAATCTCTCCAAAATCAGCAAAAAGCTGCAATTACATCTTGAAGAAATAATTCAAAGTATTTTGCTTTGGCAGGTAACAATGTACTTGCCAGACAGATTGGATGATTGATTTTACAATCTCTTCTACTGAATAAAAGAATTACAGGCTAATCTTGAAAAATACAGCAAATATTTAGCTTACAAATGAAATGCTTTCTGGACAGCTAGTAAGAGATAATCACACTAGCACCTTGTTCCTTTGCACATCTTCCTGCCAGTTATCATCCAACTTAGGCTGCTTAGTTTTACAGAAGTCTCATCCTTCCCCTCTGGAAAAATGTTTCTGGCTGAGCAATAAAAAACCCCAGGGCAATGGGTTCAGTGGTTCCAGCTCATTCTTTACTAAAAAGCAAATAATTTAGTTTTTTTATACACAGTGCAAAAATTTTGCCAGTCAATACAGACAAAATGTAAAGCCTCATTACTTTTCAGAGAAGACTATATTTCCTCTTAAACACAGTTACCTACAGAGTAACAAGGAAATACTTCAATTAACAGGACAGACTCTTATACTTCTGACATTAATTATCATCGAAGTGTATTTGTGAAATGACCACGATTAAAAAGAAAAAGCAGTACCGATCTCTGTTTCTCTGGTTGCCACCAGATCTGTTTCTCCATTCTTCAACTATAGGAGGGGGGTCTGCAGGGCGTTTTAGATATTCTTGGTATTCTTCATCATCCGCTGTGAATCGATGAGCAAACATCGTCTCATAATTTGGGGGCATGTCAGCCAAGGAAGTCATTCTGAACACTTGAAACATGAACACAACAAAAGTGGCTTTAGCAATGTATGAAGACTCTCGTTGTAATAGCTACCAAAATCCATGGCATGAAAATGAAGGACAAGTTACACTCAGACTAACACAGTTGTTGGGTTTTGGGAAGACAGCATAGATACCTCACAGAAAAAAGTACTTCAGAACATGCTCACCATCTACTCCTGACACTGACTTCTGGCAGGAAAACAATTCCTACAATCAGCTTCAAAAGCTTGCTAAAGTAGAGTATCATGCAAAGCCTACAGATACACGTAACCAGCAAGACAGGCAAAATAATCAGATTTATTCACAGTAATTTATGTGTTAATAACTTGATTCAGGGAAAGGTCAGCACCTAAGAGGATGCTATATTACTTTATAATATGCCTGTCTGATGGGATTTGTGTTTAAGGCCTTAGTTTCCTTATTTTTGTATATATGCATTTGCCATTCAGATGTTGGTGTTACCTGGTACTGTCCATCAGCAACATCTGCTGTTAATAGTGATTCAGAAAGCTCTAAGCCCTCTGTTTTAGTGAGACCCACATAATTTAGAGCATTTACAGTATCCGGCTCTGAACTCCCAGAACAAGCTCTTCCGCTGCCTCCCGAAGATTTGCTGGCAAGACCCCAAGGGCTAAAATATACAAAATATACACCAGTCTGGGGCTTCTGCCCGTGAGCAGCCTGGGCCAGGTCAGCGGGGTGTTCTCGGGAATCCTGCGGGCTCCTGCTGCCGCAGTTCCCTGCAGCAGCCCCAGACATTGGTGTCTGCTGCCTCAGAGCCCCCGGGCAGCCACACCTCCCTGGGGCACGTGTAGGAGTTATTCCTGCAGGAACAACCCATCCTCCTTTCCTCTGCCAGGAGCTAGCCTCGTTAGTTTTTTTATTACGGGCTACCTCCAAGGAACTTCGCTGCTCAAGCCTATGGCAGTCGGGGTGAGGGCGGCGGGGGTAGCACTGCCCTGGGGACCCGCCGCTACAGCTTCCCCTGAGCCGCTGGAGGTGCTCCCCTCCATAAATAACACTTTGTCCTGTTAATATCATATTCATCCCGCGGGGCCCGTACCGGGGACACCCGGCACCCTCCTGCACCCAAGGCCAGGCAGACAGCGACGGAGGGGGCTGGCTGCCCCAGGGGGGCTCAGCCGGAGCCCCCTCCCCTCACAGCGGGCCGCACAGAGCTGAGGGAGGACGCGGGGGTCGCTCCCGCTCCCTCCTCCCTCACAGCCTCCTTCCCCTCCCCGCATCCGCCCCGCCGCCCCTCACCGCGCCTCAGCCGCCGGAGCCGCCGCCGCGATCCCGCCTCTTCCGGGCCGGGCCCCGCCGCTTCCCGCACCGGGGCGGGACGGGGCACACCGGGGCGGGATACGAGGCACCGGGGCGGGACGGGGCACACCGGGGCGGGACGCGGGACGGCGGGGCCCGACGGGGCACGCCGGGACGGGCAGAGCGGGCAGGGGTGGAAGCAGCCATTCCCTGCGGTTGGGGTTGGATACCAAGCGCGTTGGCAGGAGCAGTACTGAGGCTTGTGTGGCGCTGGCCTTCGCTGCCACGCGGGTTTGAAGGAGGTGACACCTGAAATGTTTGGGTTTTAACCGAAAGCTGCAAGTGAAAAAGGTGCGATCAGCATGGCGCCTGTGGCTGCCTGTAATGCCATCTAAGTGTATTTCTGGTATAAAAAAGCTTCGGGATGTGTTGACTGCTACGTGAGGAAGATGAGATGACGTGAAGCTTTTTGGCAGGCAAATGACTCCGTGTAAACCAAAATAATTCTGTGGTGGCGCCGGCACCAGCAACACACGCTGTCACCCAGTGCTGCAGATAGCGGTCAGTCTTGTCACCCTTCATACAGATGAAGTTATGTGTGAGCCTCAGAACTTCAGGCTTGTCACCTTTAAGACGGGTGAGGTTAGGGCTGGTGGCATCAAGACCTTCCCGCAGCAGAAATGGTGTCGGAGTCCCTGGTGCCCAGTTTGCCTTGTTCCCACAGCGCCCATGTCTTTGCAGTGCTGACTAATTTCCACAACACTTAAGCCAATGATTTCTAAACAGTCTTTTGTGCTGTGTATAAGAAATGTTGTTGTTTTTTTTTTTTTTTTTTTTTTTTTTAATAGAACCCTTTCAAAAACCATTGCTTCCCACAGCGCCCATGTCTTTGCGGGGCTGACTAATTTCCACAACACTTAAGCCAATGATTTCTAAACAGTCTTTTATGCTGTGTATAAGAAATGTTGTTGTTTTTTTTTTTTGTTTTTTTTTTTTAATAGGACCCTTTCAAAAACCATTGCTTTTTTTACAAGCTCTGCTAGAGATTCTATTGCTCGCAGGCACTAGCAAAGCACAGAGACTAATAATCAGGTGGATCACTTGAAACAAAATACCCCAGCAACAGCAATAGCAGTATCCAACTCTCCAAAAATACTAGGACGCATAAGTGCCCTTTGTTTGAAATAAACAGCAATAATTACAATCTGCTCTCCTGTGACATCTACAGCCGGTGTGTATTGTCACTTGCAGAGCAGGAGACGATGACCTCAATCCAAATAGCATAATGCAAACACCTTAGCCTGGACAGCTAGTTCTAAGCCAAACAAATTGTCATTGAGGCTTAAAAATAATATCTTTTCACTTATGTTTTCCCCTTATAATCCCTCTCCTACTGACTGCCTCTTTGAAATGGGCAGAAGTAAGTAGGATTTTATTTCTTCTCCAGATATGTTTCATTTTGATTGCTGCATATTGCAGTTCCAGGTGTGTCTACAGAGGATTTCGTGCATAAAGTTAAGGAGATGATTCTTAATAAAAGGTACATGCTTCTTTATTTTTGAGGCTCTAGTCTGCTGTTTCATGGGTGACATTTTTCATTAAAAGATCAAACTTAATATTAAACCTTTAATTATAGACTCAAGTCATCCATACATATACATAATTTAGGCATAAATATAAGTTCTGTTGAAGGCATGGGCCCCTTGTAATCCTATAAGCAGTATATTTCACACATTACAGTATTGGACAGGTGCTCTCATCACCATATTTTGCATAGAAAAACATTTGCAGGGAATGGCTAAACCAGAGTGGCACACAATTATGTATAATATATATTTATGCATGATACTTTCGCTTTGGTTCTTTTTTTGTCACATGTCTCTATGGCTGCTTTGGGTTATATCAAGAAGGAGATCATAATCCAAGGAATATCCTAAGATTTCTCATAGATGTTATTCTGAAATTCAAACTGCATATAAAAAACCTGAAGTGACAGATGATTTTTAAAGGAATAAAGGCACTCAGAAATGAGTATTGTCACCGAGTAGAACTTTCAACACCCACTAAGTGCCTCACATAGCACATACCTACAGACTAGGTGCCTGAGTGCTTAAAAGGTCAAGCTCCAAGTGTTGTCAAGACAGAGAAATTGATAATCCTCTCTTGCAATCTTTCTGCTCACTTCAAGGCTCTCTGGATAATTAATGTGTTGTTTTTGTGTGAACACGATCTCATAATCAGCATTTCTGAAGTCTTCTGCAGTGTGATAAAGCCTCAAAGGGTTTGCTTTTTTCCTGTGGATTTCATAATGTTAAATAATGTGCTGTTAGACAAAGTCTTATCTTCTAAATTTTAAACTAAGACTTTTTCCTTGTAGCCTATTGGAAATTAATTAAGCTTTTGTAGAATGGATCTTCCTGGCTGAACAAAGGAGTATGTGCTAAAACTAGCAAGGTCTTGTTTGCCTTGAAACAATGGAAAATGACAGGGGGTTTTGTACCTATTTAGCCTTGATAACTCTTGCTGTTCTGTCACAGGACTTTGTATTTGATATTTCGCCTAAATCTCCAGCTTCTGGACTCATGTATTTTCTTTATACTAAACTTTTGTTTGAAAATTAATTTCTAGGCCTTCTTATTACAGACAGAGGTAAAGAGGTAGGTCTGTTCTACAGGATAACCAGCCTGTACCAAGGAGAAAAAGGAAAACACTGTTCAAATTTTATTTAAAATCTTATATATTTTGCAATTTTCTGTTATCTTTAAGGCTGTGTTCATTGCTCTGTCTCAGTAGAGCTTGACAGCTGTGACATTTTTAATGAAAAGTCAGCATGTGTCTATCTCAGTGGCAAGGGAAAAGGAGAACTAATTTTTTTTTGGGGGGGAGGGGAGCATTTCTATATCTTTATGTGTCTATCTCAGTGGCAAGGGAAAAGGAGAACTAATTTTTTTTTTTTTTTTTTTTTTTGGGGAGGGGAGCATTTCTATATCTTCAAACAGGAGGAATTCTTTTTCTCTAGTGTTAATATCTACTTTGAGAAATCAACTAAGAAACTAACATCATTTGCAATTGGGGCCTGCCTGATTGAGGGAGTATTTGTCTATAAACAAATAAGCTGTGAAGCCTCCATAGATGGTTATGGATCCTGCTGGGGATTTTTAATAACAAAGTAACATTTCAGAAAATATTTTGGTGAAAATTTGTCTTCAAAACCCTGATTTTCTTTCTTAGCTTGCTGAAACTCCTCAGTGGTTTCCTGTCAGCCAATTTCCCTCTCCCCCCTTTATTTTTCAATGTCTCAGTTACTGTGTAACTGAAAGCCTGGTTTGTTTGTACAAGGAAACCTGATTTCCCCAGGTAATTTATTCTAGGAAATGGTGATGTCTGGCACAGCTAGGGAGAGCAAGACTTTGTGTTCTGGCTCCAGCAGTCCAAAGGGCGTGCGTGGCAGCCTTGTTATTGATTAGCCATAAAGGAAAGCTGTGTTTCTGTGGGCACCAGAGGCTGTCAGACCACCAGGGGACATCTGAGCAATAACGAGCGCCAGGTGTTTGCTCCATCATTCATTGCACTGGGAGATAGGTAAGCAGAGATTCTGCTTAGCCAGTCTGCAGAAATATTGGGGGCTGTGCTCTTTCTCTAGGACCTCCTGTGCTCAGAAGATGAGTTGAGTTCTCGTCATGGGATTTTATTCTTTTGTTGGAGAGGATTATTGCCCAGATGAACCTCACTTAAATAACAAGAAAGACAGAAATACAGCAGCTGCTGCTGACAAATGCCTCTGAAGCCCATGCAACTCTTCTGTCAGATCTCTGCTTTGCCTTTGCTGGTATACTGTACAGTACCAGTGAGCTTCAGAGTGTCTTTCACACACCTCCATATGGTGTTGTAAAGTGAAGTCCATAAAGGAACAGACTGCACATTTCTAATGACTTCACTAAACTTAATACAAGAAATGTTTCCTTCCCATAACAATGACCTTTAAATGTTAACTGGCTAAAAAAATAACATTGTCCTTTTTTAAAAAGGGGGAAAATGCAACTCTTGGTGTTTGATTGTGTTACAGAATAACAATTTTGGTGCTGCAGGGCCCAATTCCTTTGCATTAAGTTTACAAGAGTGCTTGCTTCCTAATTTATGCCAGTATGAAAGAAGGCCTTTAATTTCCCTAAGAGCTACTTCTGTGGTCTGTCTTTTGAAAATCACAGTCACATTAAATTATATTTCTAGCATATTGCTCTTGAAATCTGACTGTCATTGATCCATATTTATAAACATATATACAAATTTAAAATCACTACATTCTAGCTGCCTTCTTTTATTTTCACCTTTTAAACTGACTAAGCCAGCTATGCCCTTTGGGGTCTATAAGAATGAATCATTTTTATTATTTTTTTCTCTCTTAGACAGTAATTACAGGGTAGTATGCTGTCTCTGGTTTTTAATATTATGGTGCCATTTTAATCCAAGGCGCAACACCATTAACTTCAACAGAGTTACACTAGCAATGAATTTGTCCCCAGGAGGCTTTTCCAAATGTTCAGTTCTTTCCTCGTGATTACCCAGAGGAATGGAGAAGAAGAAGGCAAGACAGAGGACCCTTTGATAGGAGGAATGTAGTTCAAAGCAAAGTCTTGCTGCTGCCGTTCATGGTGCTCCATATGTTCCTCATTTGGGGTGGAGGTGGGTTAGACCCCGTGGGGCACACATGCTGGGGCTGGGGGGCAGGCAGAAGTTTTACACAGCACATCTGGTGCACAGGTTATGTCATTTCCTAGATGTAGGTACTGTACAAATTGGAAAGAAAAAAAAAAAGAGAGAAAAAGTGGGAGGAATATTCAGGCACTTTAAGTGTACTTCTGTAGAACTGCTTCAAAGTAGAGTAGCCAAACGCTTAGATATCAAACTCATCATGATCATCACGCTGTCTCAACTCCAACTCAGATGCTTTTTAGATGTCAAGTAATTCTGCAAGTGGGGATGTGTGAATCAGTGCTACCATGGATTACCTATTGTTAAGACAGTTGCAAAATATAAAGAAAGTACTTGCAGAAGTTTCTAGCACTAGATTTTATTCCTACTCAATTTT